ATTGATTAATTTATAAAATATGGAGAGAAATTAAAAGATGAAAATAATTTGATCATTGAATTCATTTGGTTATTCTCATGGTATGCCTTGATAACTTTTGATGGCATTCTCTATCAACTAAATGCTTCATGGTTTTGCCTTTTGCATTTAATTCTCAAATCTCCTAGTAATTGATTTTTGTGACAGGTATGGGATATGAATTCACTCTTTCCATGTGGATAATTGGTTATTCCAGTACTGTTTATTAAAATTATTCTTCATTTCTTCCCTGATATATGAAATTTCCTATGTCATAAATCAAGTTTTCATATAGGTAGTTTTATTTCTGTACTCTCTCTTCTGTACCATTGATCTTTTGTCTACCCCTGAATCATACTATTTCAGATATCTCAGATACTAAGTTTTGTTTCTTGTCTTGTTCATGACCTTAGAAATGCTTTCAAATTTCACGGTTTATTATTTTTTAAAAAAGATTTTATTTATTTTTTTGACAGAGAGAGAGATCATAAGTAGACAGAGAGGGAGAAGCAGGCTCCCCGCCGAGCAGAGAGCCCGATGTGGGGCTCGATCCTAGGACCCTGAGATTGTGGCCTGAGCTGAAGGCGGTGGCTTAACCCCCTGAGCCATCCAGGCGCCCAAATTTCACGGTTTAAAATGATACTTGTAGTTTTTTTAAATGACCGTCTTTACCAAATTAAAGAAGTTTTCATTCTGTTCCTACCTGGCTAGGACTTTTGTTTATCTGTTCATTTTAAATCATGAATGGATGCTGAACTATACTGAAAGGCTTTTGTATAACTTCAGCAGTGACTGAAAGTTTTTCTCCTTAATTTGTTGATGTAGTCAGTTACATTGATTTTTCAAATTAGGTTAACTAAGCATTGCTAGGATAAACCCAATTTAGTCATGTAGGGATTATCTTTTTTTTATTATTATAAATTATTAGATCTGGTTTGCTTAAATTTTGCTTAGGATTTTTACATTAATGTTCATGAGTCAGATTGGCTTTTAAATTTCCATTCTTATATTATCCTGGTTGGATTTTTAACGTATCTCTCTTTTTAAATGTTAGCTTTGTTAAAATATATGTATTATAAAGTTTACCATCTTACCCGTTTTTAAATGTATGGTTTAGTGTAGTGTAAAGTATATTCACATTGGCTGTGTAGCTAATCTCCAGAACTTTTTCGTCTTGCAAAATTGAAACTCTATACCCATTAAACACTCTTCATCTCTCCCTCCCCATCACCGTAGCAACCACCATTCTTTCTATTTTTATGAGTTTGACTACTGTAGATATCTCCTAGAAGTGAAATCATACCGTATTTATCTCTTCGTGCCTGGCTTTTCACTTAGTATAATGTTGTAGCATGTATCAAAATTTCCTTTTTAAGGCTGAATAATATACCATTGTGTGTATAAACATTTTGTTATTTGCTCATCTATTAGTGGACAAGTATGTTGCTTCCACCTTCTGGCTATTGTGAATAATGCTGTTGTGAACATAAACATACAAATAAATTCTGCACACTTCCTTAAATGCCTTTGGATACAGACCCAGAAGTGGTATTGCTGATAATGTGGTAATTCTATTTTTAATTTTTGAGGAGTTGCAATCCTGCTTTTCGTAGCAGCTACACCATTTATGTTCCCACCAGCAGTACGAAGGGTTCCAACCTCTCCATATACTTGCCAACACTTATTTTCTCTGTGTGTGTGTGTGTGTGTGTATGTGTTTTAAGATTTTATTTATTTATTTGACAGAGAGAAACACAAGCAGGGGGAGTGGGAGAGGGAGAAGCAGACTACCCACGGAGCAGGGAGCCCGATGCTGTGCTTGATCCTACAATCCCAGGATCATGACCTGAGCCGAAGGTAGCCGCTTAAGGACTGAGCCACCCATGCACCCCTCCCCCCACCGTGTGTGTGTGTGTGTGTGTGTGTGTGTGTGTGTGTGTGTGTTTAAAGATTTATTTGAGAGAGATCGAGAGAGGGCATCCGCACATAAGCAGGGAGCCGGGCAGAGGGCTAGGGAGAGAAACAGACTCCCTGCTGAGAGCAGAGCTGCCTGTGGGGCTTGCGACTCCATCTCAGACGACCTGAGCCTTTGGAGCTGGGGCCTTGATCTCAGGACTCTGAGATCATGACCTGAGCCGAAATCAGGAGTCAGATGGTGAACCAACGGAAGCCACCCAGGCACCCCTATTTTCTGTTTGGTTCTTTTTTGATAGTAGCCATCCTAATGGTTATGAAGTAGTATCTCATTGTAGTTTTGACTTGCGTTTCCTTATTAACTAGTGATGTTGAGGCTCTTTCCATAAAATTGTTGGCCATTTGTGCATTTTCTCTGGAGAAATGTCTGATCAAGTCCTTTGCCCATTAATCAGGTTACTTGTGTAGTTGTTACTGTTGTTGCTTATCAGATATATGATTTGTAAATATTTTCTCCTGTGTCTTTTGGGTTGCCTTTTCAGGCTGCTGATTGTTTCCTTGAATGCCTAAAAGTTTTTAATTTTGATGTAGTTCAGTTTATCTATTTTTACCTCTGCTGCCTATGGGTTTGGTGTCATAGCCAAGAAATTATTGTCAAATCCAATGTCATGAAACTTTACTCCTAGTTTTTTTCTGAGTATTATACTTTTAGGTCTTATATTTAGGACTTTATTTTGAATTAATTTTTGTATAAAGTGTAAGGTAAGGGTCCACGTTCATTCTTTGGCATGTGGATATCTTGTTTTCTCAGCATCATTTCTTGAAATGATGATCTTTTCCTCCATTGAATGGTGTTGGCATCCTTTGTCCTGGTTGGATTTTGATATGAATTAGAAAGTGTTTTTCTTTTTTCACTATTCTCTAGAAGAATTTGTTTAAAGTTGTAATTATTTCTTTTTTTATATATTTGTTGTTTCTCCACCATTTGGTGGGACTTACTTGTAAAACTATTTGGATTTGATGATTTTTTTAGTGGAAAGATTTTAAACTAACTGTTCATTTTTTTTTTTTTAAAGTTCCATTTATTTGGGAGAGAGACAGAGATAGTGAGAGAGAGAGCACGAGCAGGGAGGAGAGGGAGAAGCAGCTCTTGATGCGTGGCTCGATCCCAGGACCCTGGGATCATGACCTGAGCTGAAGGTAGACGTTTAAATGACTGAGCCACCCAGGGGCCCCACTGTTTGATTTTTTAATAATTATTTTTCTGTTTAGATTCTCTATTTCTTATTTTTAAACGCTCCATTGATACATTTGTCCTTTAAAAACTGATATGTAATTCACATACAAAATTCACCCCTTTAAAGTGTAAAATTCAATTTTTAAAAATATTCCCAAGATTGTATAACCATCTCCACTGTCTAATTCTAGAGCATTTCATTATCCTCAAAAGAAGCCCTGTACCCACTAGCAATCACTCGCTATTCTCCCTTAACCCATCTCTGACAACCAGTTATCTATTTTCTCTATAGATTGGACTATTCTAGGCATTTCCTGTAAATAGAAATATATAGTATGGGACCTTTTTTGTCTAGGATCTTTCACTTAGTGTAATGTTTTCGAAGTTTATTCACATTGTAGCCAGTATCAGTACATTTTTCCTTTTTTGGTGGACTGTTATTATGTGGATATACCACATTTTGTTTATGCATTAATCAGTTGACACACATTTGGATTGTTTCCATTTTTTGGCTATTATGAATACCACTATGAATCTCCAAATAACAAGTTTTTGCATACACAGATTTTTCAGTTATTTTGGTTGTGTGTCTAGGAATAGAATTGCTGGGCTCATATGGTAACACTATATTTAACCTTTTTAAGATCTGCCAAAATGTTTTCCAAAGCAGTTACACCATTTTACAGTCCCATAAGCAATGTGTGAGTGTTCTAGTGTCTCCACATCTTGGCCAACACTTGCTGTTGTCTGTCTTTTTGATGGTAGCCATCCTAGGGTGTGCCAAGTGGAATCTGTGGTTTTGATGTGTATTTTCCTAATGACAAGCGATGTTGAGCATTTTTTCCTGTGCTTATTGGCCTTTTGTATAACTTCCTTGGAAAAAATGCATATTTAGAGCTTTTGTCCACTTTAAAATTGAGTTGTCTTGGGGTACCTGGGTGGCTCAGTCGGTTAAGCATCTGCCTTTGGCTCAGGTCGTGGTCTAAGGGTCCTGGGATCAAGCCCAATGTTGGGCTCTCTGCTTGGCCGGGAGCCTGCTTCTCCCTCTCCCTCTGCCTTCTGGTACTCTCTGTCTCTCTGTCAAATAAATAAATAAAATCTTTGAAAAAAAAATTGGGGCATTTGGGTGGCTCTGTTGGTTAAGTGGCTGCCATTGGCTCAGGTCATGATCCCAGGGTCCTGGAATCAAGCCCCCCACCCCCACCCCACATCAGGCTCCCTGCTTGGCAGAGAGTCTGCTTCTCCCTGCTGCTCTGCCTACTTGTGCTCTCTTTGTCAAATAAATAAATAAGATCTTTTTTAAAAATCTGTTAAAAATTGAATTGTCTTTTTATTGTTGAGTTGTAAGAGTTCTCTATATATTCGGGATATTTTCTCTAGCTCTGTTTTCTCTAGCTCTATTTCCACATATTTTCTCTAGCTCTTTTGTCTTTTCATTTTATTTCATTGTGTCCTTTAAAGGGCAAAAGTTTTTTATTTTGATGAAGTTCAGTTTATCTTTTTTTTCTTTTATTGTTTGTGATTTTGGTATCAAAGAAACTTTTGCGTAAAGGTATTGAAGATTTGTGTGCTGAAAAGTTTTATGTTTTAGCTCCTACATTTAGGTTTTAGATCCATTTTGAGTTAATTTTTATATATAGTATAAGGTGGAGGTCCCAATTTATTATTTTGCAATTGGAAATCCAGAGGTCCCGGTACCATGTGTTGAAGAGACTATTCTTTCTATATCAAATTATCTAGGCTCCTCTTTTGAAAATCAGTTGACTGTAAATGTATGCATTTATTTCTAGATTCTCAGTTTTGTTTCATTTGATCTATATTTCTCTTCTAGCCTGTACCACACTGGGTGATTTGATGCTTGATGACAGTAGCTTTAATGTAAGTTTTGAAATTGGAAAGTGTGAGTTCTAAATCTTTTTGATGCATTTTTAATAGATTGTATTTTTCTAAAAACTTTTCAAAAATCTTTCCAAACTTTCAAATTTATTATCATTAAATTGTCCATAATATCCTCTGATCAGCTTAATCCCTATAACATCTGTAAAGTTTCCTTTTCCTTTTTATTAGTTTATGTTATCTTTTTCCCAATTAGTTTTTCCAGAGGTTTATAATTTTAATTACTCTTTCAGAGAATGAACTTCTAGTTTATCATCTTGTTTTAAGTATTTTCTGTTCTTTCAGGGCCTGCTATTATTTCTTTCTTCTTTCTTAGAACTTTTAGGTTTTTGGGTTTTTTCTGTCCTTTTACAAAGACTTTTGAATTTGGGTTTTTGTGCTTAAATTTGCCTCTAAGTATCATTTGAGCTGCCTTTCTACAAGTTTTGATATATAGTATTTTTGTGTTTTTCCATTAAAAAAAGCACTTACTTGCCTCAGGAATTATTACAAAAGCATATATTTAATTTCAACATATTTAGCTTGTAAATATAATTTCTGTGATAGTGTTCCAAGTTGATTTCTTCATGGTCACAGACCATAATCTAATTTGTAGAGACTAACTTTAAGACCTGGTATATGGCTAGTTTTCATGAATGTTTATATGCATTTGGAAAGAATGTGAAATCAGTTGTTTAGTATAGTGCTTCATATATGTTCGTGAGCTTGTTAGCTGTTCTACTTACATCTTTCATGGTTTGCTTAGGTGTTGTTTGGCTTTGGGTTTGGTTTGATTTTGGGACTTCTCAGTTTCTGTTCTGAGAAAGGCGTATTAATGCCTCTCACATGGTGGTAGGTTTGGCAGTTTCTCCTCTAGCTGTGGTAATTTTTGTTTTATGTATTTTGATTCTGTGCTATTAAGTACTTACATTTCAATTTTTTTTCTTTTAAGTCGAACATTTTGTTGGATTGAAAGGCCATATTCAAAACTATTTTGCCTTATAGTTTTGTTTTTCGTGGTTGGCTGTTTTCTTGGGTTAATATATCTGTTTTAGCTTGCTTTTGGTTAATAGTATTTTTCATCCTTTAGCTTTTCATTGGTCCTGTATTTTAGTTTGTGTCTTATAAACAGGGTATGGTTAAATTGTGTTTTGTTCTGAATGACAATATTTTTTACTGGAATTTTAGTCAGTTGTGATACTGCTAGATTTAGATTGATTTCTGTCTTGTGGTCTGTTTTTCCTCCTCGCCTTCCTTCCTGTTCTTCCAGTCTTTTGTTTGGAGTTAATGTGTTTGAAGCCTTCATGTAGGCATGTTTTCTCATTTCAGTCCCCCTAACACCTTGCACACATGTACTCTTGTTTGTAAATTAATGTTATTTATTTTTTCAATGGTTGCTCTAGCTTTTTTAAGACGTCCTTTCTAAAAGGAAGAGTTTAAATCAGTATCTTTAATCTATTCTTGAATAATGTAATAACTTAAAATGCTCTGATTGTCTTCCTTCCAGAAATCAATAACGCTATTGTCTATTATTTGAGTTTTAATATATTTATCTCTTGCATATATAAAAAAATTTTATGGGGCGTCTGGGTGGCTTAGTGGGTTAAAACCTCTGCCTTCATCTCAGGTCATGATCCCAGCGTCCTGGGATCAAGCCCTGCATTGGGCTCTCTGCTCGGTAGGAGCCTGCTTCCCTTCCTCTCTCTCTGTCTGCCTCTCTGCCTGCTTGTGATCTCTCTCTCTGTCAAATGAATAAATAAAATCTTTAAAAAAAATTTTTTTAAACATTATTATTTTAGATAGTTGATCTTTGTTTACTGTTTCCTTGGTGCATTATCTGAGACCTTCCATATGAAACAATTTTTTTCTACCTGAGAATTTGTTTTAATGAAAGTCTTTTGGCGAAGGTGGATGACATTTTTTTTTTATGTTTTTTTTTTTTTTAATCTGAAGATGTGTTTATTTCATCTGCATTCTTGAAAGATAATTTCACTGTGTATTGAATTCTAAGTTTTCTCATCACATTGAAGACATTATTTTGATGTTTTGACTGCCACTGTTGCTGTTGAGAAGTAAAATTGCCCTCCCTTTGAAAATAATCTGTTATTTGACTGTTTTTTAAGCTTTTTCACCTCCTTTAGTGTTCCTAGTTTTATAGAATATATTGAAATTTTTTTAACTTTATTTTTTATTTTATTATTTGTAATTCTACTTGGGATTCTTTGGGCTTCCTGGATCTGAGGACATCTTTGAATAATTATGTTAAATTCTTGACCATTATATCTCTGAGTAATGTCCATTATTTTCCTTATTTTCTCCTTCTGTAACATTTTCTTTCCCCATCAGGGACAGTTTTTCTTCAGAACTTAAGTACTCAGCTCCTTATGTGGACTTTGGCAGAAGTCATGGGGAAGCTCTGTAGGTTTAAATTAGGGTGGGGATGTTTGGTCCTTCCATGCATCATGAGAATAATTCTTTTTTTTTTTTTAAAGATTTTATTTATTCATTTGACAGACAGAGATCACAAGTAGGCAGAGAGGCAGGCAGAGAGAGAGGAGGAAGCAGGCTCCCCGCTGAGCAGAGAGCCCGATGCGGGGCTCGATCCCAGAACCCTGGGATCATGACCTGAGCCGAAGGTAGAGGCTTTAACCCACTGAGCCACCCAGGTGCCCCCAAAGCTCCTAACTTTTAAGTTTGGATAATTCATTCCTTTTTTTTTTAATGTGTAAGCTAAAATAAAATGTTTAAGGTACACACACCTACACCTACACTTAGTTTTCTGATTTAGCCAACTTAAGTTCTGTTTTAAATTGGACAAGATGGTTTTTACTGAACTTGCTTAATATCTGTGGCAGTGGGAACAGTATTGCTTCCTTTATGTGGGGAGCCCTTATGTGAGTAGCAACAAGAAAAGGAAAAAGGTAAGTATACCCAGGTATTCTGAATAATAGTGAAAGAACAGTTGTACCATTCATTTCCCCTTTAGTGCAGATGATTCGTAGAAAGTTGGGGACAGCATTATAGTCCATCTTTGTCTTCCAAATTGACTGTTACAAGAAATTTGTTAGACTGTTGGAACAGATGTGTGAGGGCACACCAAGCATGACCACATTTAATATGAAACAAACAAAAAAAACTTGGTTAGGATTTTGACCCTAGTTTTTTTTTCTTTTGGAAAAAATGATACTGGTAGCACCTTATTCTTGCAGCGGTTTCCCCTTTCTGGGAGTACTGTGGCTTCATTTTTCCTTGAGGCCAGGAAGCTAGTCCTTTTCAGCTACTTGGATCTCCCAGAAACAGCCTTAAAGCTTCACTTTTCTGTTGAGAGAAATCTCTGAAAAGATTTATCTTCTCTGAAACTATTAATATTGATATGTTTTTTTTCTTCTTTTGTTTACTAACATGAAGAATTATTTTGGTTTTTCTAATATTAAACCAACCTTTGACATTGTTTGCTATGCTAGTATGTTAGGAATTTTTGCACCAATATTCATGAAGGACATCAGCCTCTAATATTCTTTTATTGTGCTGTGCGTGGTATCAAGGTTATACGAGTCTCAAGATGATTCAGAGAGGGTATCTTTATTTTCTGTCATATTATATAAAATTATTTCTTAATTGCATGTTTGACAGAATTCATCTGTGATGCCATCTAGGCCAAGAATTTCTTTATGGGAGGATTTTTTGATTCCTAATGGAATATTTTAAGATGTTTAAGACTATTCATATTTTTGCTTCCTTTTGAATTAGATTAGGCAAGTTAATTTTTTTCTAGGAATTTATCTATTTCACCTAAAATCTCTGATTTTTTGGCATGATATTATTGTAATACTATCTTATCCTTTGACTATCTAATTTTGAGCAGTGTTCAGACTGTACTGGGGACCTTTGTGGGTCCCTGGTATCAGATGATCTGGAATGTCAAAACTATCTTCATAATTTTCCACTGTGTTGACATTTGCAGTGCTGCTCTAAAAGCAATGGTGAGTAAAACTGCTAACACCTGAACACAGATTAAGGCGGTGGCACCAAACCAATTATTAATGTTTTTTCTTTGTCATACATTCATAGTTTCTTTTTTTTTTTTAATCCAGTTTAAAAAATAAAGAAATAAAAAAAATCTAGTTTTATTTAAGAATGACCTTGATGTGGGGTCCCTGGGTGGCTCAGTTGGTTAAGTGTCTGCCTTCAGCTCAGTTCACGATCCCAGGGTCCTGGAATTGAACCCTGCATTGGGCTCCCTGCTTAGCCTTTCCCACTGCCCCTCCTCCCCTTAAAAAAAGAATGCTCTTTTTTTTTTTTTTTTTAAAGATGTTATTTATTTATTTGAGAGAGAGAGAGAGACCACAAGCATAGGGGAAGGATAGAGGGAGAAGCAGAGTCCCCGCTGAGCAGGGAGCCCGATGCAGGCTCGATCCCAGGACCTCAGGATCATGACCTGAGCTGAAGGCAGACGCTTAACGGACTGAACCACCAAAAATATTAATTTCATTAGATCTCAACTTTGAGTACTCGTCCTGTGTACTAAAGCATGATAGTCATCTTCAGAAAAAGTGCATGCTCAGCCAAGGTGTGAGCTAAACCAGCTGCTTTTTTCTGTAAAACCTCCTTTTTTTTTCCCAAAGAAAAAGTGAAAGTTTTCGGTTATTTGAACTAATGTATTTGAGATTTGTTTTTCCAAAAATGAACTAAGTGGGCCTAACACTTCAAGAAAAACAGCTGTATTTGTAGCCAATCTTAAAATAAAATTTTCAAGTAAAATTTAGAATTTTGGAAAACTTGTACCTAATACTGTGAGCTTGACAGCTTCCCAGATACTTAAAGGCTTTTCTTGTGAAGTGGATATTGATATTAAAGAATGGAATTTTCTTTTCTTCGTATTGTATTCTGAATTGTGTCAATTTGGAACACCTGCATAGCTCATTGAATCAATATTTTCCAGGTGGCCAATGTGTAATGATACTAAATCACATAAGGGTCAAAGATCCATTCAAAGTGCAAGA